TTTTAATTTCAAATATAAAATATTTATAGGGATTCAAACTTTTGACCTCTTATTTAAAGACATATGTTTTGATTAGTAAGATTTCATGTCGATAAGAGTGTGCCACCGAGGACGCTCTCTATAGAGGCGCTTTAAAATTGTAAGACTGTTGACAATACTAACGGGCTAAAGTGGACAATATCTGTTAGTGGTAGGCTTGGATGGTTGCAAATGGTATCAGAACTAGACATGAGACGATGCCAGCGAGGACACTGGTCTTCAAGGGAGTGGATTGTGAGAAGAGAACGAAACATAAGGGTGTGTCAGTGAGTATGCTCTCTAACAAACGCATTTAAAACCGTGAGACTGATGATGATACATAATGGGTCAAAGCGGACAATACATGCTAACAGTGGGCTTGTACTGTTATGTGATCAACTAAGATGTACTGAGTTTGACTGATAAAATGTAAGTAACGAAGTTAGCTTATAAGTATTACAGATCATAATGAGCTGTATTTAACTCAACATATTTCGTATGATTGGAACGTGAAAGAGTGGTATATGAAAACCCTACTTGCAATTATTTTAAACGGTTGGCTCCGTCGTTAAAATTTTCTAAATTATTAATATTTCCGTCAATTTTGATAGTTCAATAGTATGTGGGGTTGGAAAGATTCTAATTTTCGACCTTTTATGTCATATATATTTCTTTAAACACCAAAAGTTGTATGACTTTTCGTCACCATTTTTTACCTTTTTAAAACCAAACAGTTAGCTATATCTATACTCATCATAGTTCATAGCCTCCCTTTTTAGGTACGGAATATTCTTACAATTTATAGTATACGGGTTTGTTTGATCTAAACTACGAGTTTGCCAATTTATAATCTATGTACTGGATTTAGATATATCCATTTTGTAACGGCCTAAGACTACCGCTAGCCGCTAGCAGATATTGTCCTCTCTGTGTTTTTCCTTTCGAGATTCTCCTCAAGGCTTTAAAACGCATCTATTAGAGAAACATTTTCACACCTTAATAAAGGTGTTTCATTCTTCTTCCCAACCAATGTGGGATATTACACATTTAACCTATCCGGTCGACGACTCAACTCGAACTGACGTGAAATTCTCGCTCAAGCGAAAAATGTAAGAGGGAGTACGTTAGCTAAATGGAATCAGCGATAAAGATTATATTCTTCGTTCCTCTCACCACCGTTGGTCTCGTCCCATTCCCGACTCTGTTCAATTCTTTGGTGGATATCTCTAACTACCCCATATAAAATCGAGAGGATATAATGATAAAATTCAACCGTCAAATCAAAATATTGAATTGTTTTTAGAAGGTAAGTTAGTCAAATAATGATAACATTTTAAACGAGACACAATTAATGATAACAACGTGGTCGTTGAGATAGAAAAATTTTATTTTTTATTTTGAAATAATAACAAAATCAAGAAATTAAAGTCAACCATTTTATTATATCATATTAATTTTGTAGTATTCAATCATTTGAAATGTGAAAAATAGTTTAAAAAATGGGACCATAGGAGAATTAAAATACTATATTATATATATATATATATATATATATATATTAATAAATTTAATTATTAGGTTTTTTTATTTCATTAAAAATATTTGAAATCAATTATAAATAGATATCATTATTGAAGTTTTAAATATATTTTTCAATACAATTATTAACATTTAAGAATTTTTCATAATTCAAAAAAAAATTAAAATTTTATTTTAACCAAAACTTAAAAATAAATTAGAAAAACTTTCCATGAATTTTTCTATTTATTTTTGTTGAATTAAATGGTTGGTATAAAAAAATAATTTTTTTTAATATATATATATATTTATGGTTAGATGAACCCGACTATCCGAATATGATATTGTCCATTCTGAGCTTAAACTCTCATGACTTTACTTTATTTAACTTCCCAAGAAGGCCTCATAGCAATGGAGATAGTATTTCTTAATTAAACTCATGATCATTTCCTAAATTAGCAGATGTGGAACTTTCATCTAACATATATATAATATATATAAAAGTGGAACGGAGCATAGAAGGGGACGGAGAAATATAATTGGATAAATAAATAAATAGCGTTAAGAATCTTCCTTTTGACTGGTTACCATATGGGATTTAAATAATTTAATTTTAGGGATATATTTTTATTTTTTTGGTAAATAATTTAATTTATTTTTATTTTCAAATCATAATGCGATTTAAACAATAATAATAATTTGACGCGTGAGAAATGTCATGTCAATTTGACATTAGACTTTAGTCAGTCACGTGAGTGGAATCTTAGCTAAAGGTATAGCAACTTTCGATATGATTTTAAATAATAAAAGGTACGGTTTATTGGACAAGTGGTATTCTCTACTAAAAAATGTCGAGAGACTTGTTGGAAATGATCTGCGGTGTCGTGTGTTGTGCTGTATCCGGGATGAAACAACAAACTTGAAAATGAAAGAGCTTATGAATTTTTTTGTTTTGTTTTTTTATTATTAAAAAATTATAATATATAAACATTAATTTAAATGTTTAAAAAATTATTTTTTTATTTTTGAAATTTCTAAATAGAGGAAATAGGCATATATTCCTAAAAAATGCTACAAATTCCTAAAAATGAAAAAAAAATTATATAAATAATAACATATTCTTAATATATATATATATATATATATATATAAAGTGTGAAAATTTATTTATTTATTATGATAAGATTGAAAAGAATAATTAAAAGAAAAAAAAAAAGAAAGAAAACGCGTGGGGACACTGACACGCCCACCTGGCAGTGGAATTTTTCGGTGTGAAATAAAAAAAATAGAATCTTTTTATTTATTAATAATTTATTTTTATTCGAATTCTTATAAATTCAAATAAATAGAATTATTTGATCGAGATACTATTCGCTATAACGAAACTTTTGAAGTCTTATTCTCGAGCCATGAAATTTCATAGAATTTTTCGAACCCTAATAACAAAAAAGTGTTTTGGAAATATTTGTAATCGTGTAAGTATCTCGATGAACTAATGAATCGGATGGAATGATTTTTTTTTAATAAAGATTAACTTCATAATAAGAGTGTTCAAAACACTCGATGACTTGGAAAACTCAATCAACTCAATTGGAGTCGGATTTGGTTTAAATAAAATAAAAGTTCATCTATTAGATTGGTTTATGAGTTTTTCTAAAACTAGTATGATAATTGGTACATCTGAAGTGCGTCCTTCCCGGTCCTCTCGAATATGGATCGAATTGTCTCTCGACGTTCTGAACCCAGCTCATGTATCGCTTTAATGGGTGAATAGCCCAACCCTTGGAACATACTACAACCTCAGGTGGCGGAGAGCCGACATCGAAGTGTCAAACCTTCCCGTCGATGTGAGCTCTTGGGGAAGATCAGCCTGTTATCCCTAGAGTAAAGTTTATCTATTGTGCGACGACTCTTCCACACGACACTGTCGAATCACCAAGGCTGACTTTCGTCCCTGCTCGACAAATGAGTTGCAAATTAAATAGAACAAACGTAATTTTATTGTTAATTGTAAAAATACTTTTTTTTCTTATGATGCAACTATATACGGTAGATTTATTTTATTTTTATTTAGTTTCATTATTATTTTTTTAATTTATTCTCCGATTATTTTTAAAAATAAATTTTCAATTATTTGAAAAGTTTTTTTCTTTAAATATATATTTAAATTAAGTTATAAATCTTAATTAAATATTTGAAAATAAATAAATAAATAATTCATTATTCAATAAATGTTTTTTTTTGTTGAAAAAATTTACCATCAAACTCGATCCGACCCAACCTACGAACATCCCGGCTTCTCAATATTTCTATTTCATATATAATATTGTAATCTCTTTCTTGCCCACCTTTTTATTCACTCCAATGAAACTTCAAAGCTAATATCCACTTTTTTTTTTCTTTTTAAATAAAAAAGAAAAACAAAGGAAGATGTGACCTATGATCACATCATTCATATATGACAATACAAGAATATATTTATTGAATTAAATATAAATTATCGTGTTAAATATTAAACCGACTCGTGGGTTAACATGTTTGAGTCATGTTTGTATCAGTTGAGTAGAATCAATCCAAATCGAAAGTGTATTATGTAGTTTTATATATTAATAAAAGTAATTTTTTTAATTTTTAAAATATATTTTTATAATTTAGATATCATAGCTTTTAAATTAATATAAAGTTTTTAATTGTGTTAAAAACTAATAAAAATTTAAAAAAAAAAAATCAAATACTAAATGAAATTTAACAATATCAATGATTTTTTTAAATTAAAGTAATAAATATCAAAATTTTAAAATAAATTAAATGGAAAAATAATTTTAATAATTTTAATAAACATTTAATTAAAACAATCTAAAAATATAAATTTTTAAAAAATTAAATACTTCCTGACCCAATCTAGGCCCAAACTTAAATGGTTGGTTAATTAGAAATTTAAAAAATAATAATAAATAAAATATTTGAATAAAATTATATTTCAAGTAATTTGAGTAAGCTGAGTCGGTTTCAATTAACAAGATCTATCGACACGAGACCGAGACAAAGTCTTGTGCTAGAATACATAACTCAATAAACCATACAAAAAAGTAAATAAAAGATCGGGAGACCAAGACCGAGACCGAAACAAGGTCAAGGTGGAAAATACATTCCATCCTCCTAACTAAAGTTAGATTGAAAAATAGATTTCATGAAATTTCTTAATCAATTTCAATAATTTTATTAAAAAGAATGACCCAACGAGTTAGTTGGACATAAAGAGTAGAGTTAGGTGATGATGTTCATTCCTGAACTCTACTCTATTTGTTCGGGACACCAACCAAACTAAATTTCGAGTTGGTCCAACAATCCAATCTAACACAACTCCTGTGTGCTCCCTTATAATAACATATCCTAACGTATGGTCGTGTGTTCGTCAACTATTTTGCATTTCAACTAGCTAAAAACATTATATTCAGAATAAGAAGATGAAAAAATAGGACATGGACGTAGATTGATATCATTTCCATCAAATGAAACATAAGAAGAAGATACGTGGGGTTTTACAAGAACATGGCCAAAACCAAACTGGCATCCAAATCCATACTAATTGCTAAAGCCAAAGCCCAAATTATATTCATATTCCACACTTGAAATTCATAAAATATGGCTTCTCAACACCCAAGAGAATACCTTTATTTTCAAGGTCACATTACCCATTCCACTGCATAGCATACCCTCCCTCCTTTTATCTGTCACATCCCTCCTGTTTGTACCCCAAAAAGATAAAAGTAATCGGTCAAAGTTTCAAATTTTCAATATCTAAACGAAATATCAATCAAGTTCGGGTTGTTCTTAACGTCAATCCAAGCATAGTTCGGTGACTAACTCACTGATTACCATATCTAAAGTCAAAAATTCAATTTTGTATCAATCATAGATGCAAATGGAACCTAGCCACAAAACACCCAATTCACTTTTAAAATGCTACAAAAGAATTCATAGCTGGTCACAAAAATCTTCTAAATTTACTTATTAAAAACCCTGGACTAATCAAAGACTACTAGCTTCAATTCATAAAATCAAAGCTCAAGAATGAAGTCAACTCACTAAGCTAAGCTAGTTTAAACCTCCTTTAAACACGTATGATATATTGTTCATGTAGTTCATAAAAATTGTAAGATCTTCCCATCTTTCCAATGTGGGATCTTCGACATGCCTCTCAAGATGGTGTTTTTTTTTTCGCTTCATCATATTCTCGAGTCGGACTCGATTTTTTTGGAGGCCAAATATTAGTTTGGGCATCATGGACTAAGATGCTATCTGGAGTTTTATCTCAAAATCAATTAACAATGTGAAGAATAACATGTAAGTTTTCCCATCTTTCTAATGTAAGGTTACCAACATGAATGATCTCATATTTTTCTTCTATATCATAAGATAAATATACAAAATCCGTCCTAGATAAGAAATAAAAAAGAATTTCAGTACAAGTTTAGTCTTTGAACGGGTCCTTGAATTTTTTATTTTGGGACACTAGTAGATCATTCTGACTAAAAGAATTTATGAACTTACCAACTCTATTTGTAATTTAAACTAAGTAGAACGAGCAATCTAATTCTTGATTAGGCTTCAGATCCAGAAATTCAACAGCAAGAAAAACGAGAGAATGATTTCAAATCAATGCAAGCACAGTTTTATTTGGCAAAAAAGGGCAGTAGGGGCAAGAAAAAGAACTTACAGTAGGGTACGATCTTCCATAGTTGGTTCTCTCCTTCCTTCCATTTCCAAAGGACAATTTTGGTGCCGTCGTGAACTCCACCAGAATATTTGTCCCCATGAAAAGCATCAACATTCAACCCAATGTTATTCACCATCCTTATGGATCTGAACCCTTCCCCAAAGTCCTTGCTCTGTGTCCACAGTACCGACTCGTCCACCACGTCAGGATTGTATTGTATCAGCTGTACCTGCATTGAATTTACCATGTCAGTTCGTTTCGTTAGTCCATTTCGATTGTAGGGGCCGTTTTGAAGTGACTTTCTAACGTCATTCCAATCAGAACTAATGTCATCCTCACTATCCAACCGAGTTTAGTTGCTTTGCTTCACTCAGTTTGGTTGGGTGTTAGGATTTTGGTATTCCATTTTGTTACCTTTCGTGAAACTAAATTCAAAAGCTTTACCGAGAAATCTTAAATCCCCAAGATGCAACCAATGAAACTTGATCACAAAAAATGCCGAACCCAGGCAACATAAACATCTTAACCCTCAACCACCACAAAAGCAGAAATTAAAAATAGCAATTACAGCCAAACTAACCAAAACAAAGACTCAATACACCTACAAAAGTAATGTACTCTCAACCAACTCGAGCAGAAATTGCCCTCTTTGGACTCTCCCTTTCAGGCTAGGATTTTAAACCGCATCTACTACAAAGAGAATCTAGCCCGCTACTCCGACTAGTGTCTCGCATCCTCCGGTGACGGGCTTTGATACCATTTGTAATGACCCAAAGCCCACCGCTAGCAAATATTCCTCTTTGGACTTTCCCTTTTAGGCTTCCCCTCAAGGATTTTAAAATGTGTCTACTACGAAGAGAATCTAGCCCCTACTCCGACCAGTGCCTCGCATCCTTCGGTGACTGGCTTTGATACCATTTGTAACGACCCAAAACCCACTGCTAGCCGATATTGTCCTTTTTGGGCTTTCCCTTTCGGGCTTCCCCTCAAAGTTTTTAAAACCCTTGATATTTGCTAGGGGTAGACTTTGGGTTGATAAAATTGGAACCAACACAAGCATAAGCTAAGTAGTAATTGCCATGTACTTATTCTCATAAAGTCAGATGATTCAAATACTTATAGCCACATTTATTGTAGTTTTGACTCAAAAACTTCAGGAAAAAAAACAAAAAAAAAAAAAAACTCTTCTAGGACAGATACAAAAAATACCACCATGCTCAATTCCCATCTGAATACTTATAGAAAACCCAACAAGTGGAAACCAATATTTATTGGGAAGGAAATGATATTACAAAGGTTCAAACACAAGACCACTTGCTTTTGATACTAAGTTAAATCACCGGTCATCCAAAAAGTTTAAGCTAATGAATTAGAGAAATTTTGATTATAATCATTACTTTGAACATATCTCACATTCAACTTTAGAAAAGATAACAGTACTTCCTTTTATCCTCTCAGGTATATATGATCCACTTTTTTAATTAATTTCAACCCAGATTTATTTTATTTTGATCAAGAACACGTTTCACTTCATTATGAGATAAATATAATAATAATTCTTATTTAAGGACAAAATCTCTTAGAACTTAAAATATAAGATCTTGACTTCTAGTGGAATAATTAATCAATTAATACATAGAATATTTCAAAAAGCACGGTAAGTTTACACCATAGGATATATGATTTTCTGGGTTCTGTAAATTCATCCATCTTTCAGTAACATCACAGAGAATTTCAATTTCCAGAAAAATTACGACGAACAGCGGCAATAGAATGAGAGGCAAAACTTACCGGATGAGTATCTCCGATGGAATGCTTCATCGCCTGACCGGTGGCCTTGTTGACCAGAGCGAAGGAGGGGTACCCTGCCTCATCCTTAATCCTCGTACTGTACTTCTCATCCTTGAACCAGTGCTGAAACATTCACGATTGATCAACGCCATTAAAATCAAAGAGTAAAGAAGAATTTCAAAAATCGAATGATCTAATTACAAATTAAGGCGAAAACTGGAAATGATCAAGGGTTAAATCGATCATACTTGAGCAGGATCGTCGGGATCGGAAGGGACGAGGATAACTTTGTCGTCGCGGATGGCAAGGGAGAAATTAGGGTTTGCTTTGGTGAAGACCTTGACGGTCGGCTTGTTGGAGAAGGAAGAATTGGAATTATGAGAGTGGTGGTGAATAACCGAGGGGAAGTGTGAATGGTGAGAGTGATGGTGCACGACCGCCGGCGGCGGTCCAGAAGAGTAGCCGTAGTCAGGAACGGGCGGTTCCGGAGGGAAATCGGAGTTGAAAGCAGCGTAAGACGGCCGAGGCGGCGGCGGTGCCTCGTCGTAGTGAGTGTGGTGGACGGAGGAAACCATTGGCGGAGGTGGCGCCCCGTCGTAATGAGTGTGGTAGACAGAAGGAACCACTGGCGGCGGTGGATCGCAGTACGGAGGACGGTATCCAGGCGGAGGATAACGACGTTCGTCGTCCTCTTCGTCGTCACGGCGATGGTGGTGATGAAACGGGAAGGACATTTTTTCCGATCTTTGTGGTTTCTCCGGGCTGACCTTTACCGACTGCTAGTGTGATTTAATTGAGAATTTAACCAATAATATTATGACACGTGTCGTTTTCATGGGTAGGTTCTAGAATTCCAGCACCTCGTTTGTAAATGACGTGTATGCTAAGAAACTATTGCCAAATAAATAAATAAATAAAATTTTAAATACACGTGTCATATTAAAAATATATTTAAGTATTTAATTTTAAATTTTAAATTTAAAAATATATAATTATAAAAGATTAATTTTCAAAAATAAATATAGGTTTAATAAACCCCCAATTCATTGTTCTAAATTATATATATATATATATACGTATTAAAATTTATATGATATTGGAAAATAGTGATTATATAAATTTAAAAATATGTCCATAAATTAGTTATTAATATTTTATATTCAATATTATAAGATAACTCATTTTTTTTTACCAAATTTCTTATTTTTCAAAATACGACCTAAATTTATATAGTATGTACGTGCAGGTAGAGAATCAAATTCTCTCACTCGTGTCCTTTAATTTAAAAAATTATTACTAAGCTATATCTATATTGAAAAAAATTATAATACAGTTTTTAAAAAAATATTAATAATAATTGAGCTTACTCTTGAACTCGTAAAAAGAGTGGTATAGTAATTGGTCCTTCAAATTAGAAATTAGCTTTATTTGATCTCTCGATAGTAAAAGAAAACCCAATTCATTTAAAAATAATACATATTAATAAAGTCGTAAATTTTATGTTCATTGTTTGGGTATATCAACTAACAGTCAACCTTACCTAGAAATCATATAAAAACGAGTTTCAAAATTTATCTGGCTTCGACTATTCCTGTGACATGATCACATTATTCAATGCTAGCTTTTAATAGTAAATATTATTCCCACTCAACAACACCAATGCTCCAAGTAAACGAAACATGTTTTAACTTTTGAGTTTCTATGATTGAGTCATTGAAGTAGTAACTTCAACAAAAGTTACTTTCAACCGCAGTAACTTTTAAGTCTTTATTGGTCATCCTATTTTCAAGAACGCTCTTATTCGAATGTGAGTCGGCTCATTCATGTACACTTAATGGTGTCACGTATATTTTGGTTATATCCAATTTAATAAACCCTAAAAATATTTTTTTAATTGATTTTTAATTTGTCCACCATTTATAATATCACTTCTAAGAGCAAATGTAATTTAAAGTTTGGAGACAAAATAATATCTTAATTAATTTGATTTGATATAATTGGAATTAGTTAGAATAATTCATACCATTATTTAATTTTCTTTTTTTTTTTCTGGAAAAAAATAGGAATTTAAAATAGGGACAAGAAAGTGGGAAATGATAATAATAATGGGTTGGTATATTTTGTTTCGTTTGAATGAAAGGCTCGGTCCCACACACTTGACTTTAATGATGAAAGCTCGGAGTTTCAATAAACAATTGTTCTCCGTTCCACTATAAGCCTTTCTTCGTTTGAACCTCGCCCTTAACTTTAAGGCTATGCCATCCTAAGGTGCTGCTAAATGGAAGGATCTTATCAACGTCCATGAATGATAAATCATAGATCGAACTGCCGAATCAGAAAAATGGAGTGCTATCATATAGCTTTGTATCGGCTAAGTTCACGAGTTGGAGATAAGCGGACTCGAACCGCTGACATGTCTTATTTAACTCTATTCAGTACAGTGGTATTTGACAACATAGAGAGTCGGCATTAAAGATGAAGTGATCACATGTTCTTTCTTTTATATATTACGACAATAACATTTTTTAGGTTTCAACTTAGATCCCACGTTGTTTGGAAAGTACAGAGGAAAACAAAACATTTCTTATAAAGATACGAAAACTTCTCCCTAGCAATCGTAACTGACCGTGATACATAACATACTAAAACAGACAATATCTACTTGCGGTGGACTTGGACTATTACACGATGAGATGCAACACAAGCATATAAAGTTACATTTCAAGGGTTATTTTACGAATAATTCAAACATAGGTTAAACTTGAAGGTGGAGATTTGAACCTCCGACACCTTAAAATAGATGTCTTAACAAAGATTCGAACTTTCAAACCTCATCTTCTCATATGAGATCGGTGACCTAAACGCCCTGGTCGACAACAATATGTTCTTTTACAACCATGTGTGTTATAAGTTGCTAAAAGAATGGCTCTCTCTCAACTCGTATAAAATTGGCATAGAACGTGAGTTATTACACAAAAAAATTGTGATTCAACCATTATATTCCAATTATTCCCAAGAACTCAACCAAAATTCAAATTCAGAATGCAACCTAAATGAAACTTACCCTTTTACCTATGAACGATAAATCAACGCCTTGCTAACGAAGAAGAAGAGCTCACTCTAGATTCCGATGAACGGTTTCGCCAAATAACGTTTTAGGCTAACGACGAGACAGCTTCGATGGCGCTGCCTAGAGGCCATGCTGCTTCAACTAAGGAATTCTGGTATTTAACCTTCTTCACCAATGTGATCTCTTGCCAGGGATCCAAGCCTACGCCAAACCGAAGCAAACAAACACGTTAGTGTCATATATTGATCGATCATTCATCTAATATAAGTATTGATGCAAATGCAACCTACCGAATCCGTCTACGAGTAGTGTGTACTGATACACAAGATCCAAACACAAGTACGGCAGGTTATCCTTCTCGACATTCGGATATGTACTGGTGTCTTCGACTTTGATTTGGCAGGCTTGCTTTGCTGCATCGTTGAAGTCTGAAGGGCGAACTTTAGCGACGGGCTTATTGGGGTCGGCAAAACCAGCCTACATGTTTACCTGGTTGATCAGTGGTTCGTGCAAAAACAAGCATAACAATTTCCAAACACCCTTACTTAGATGATCCAATCATACCTCAGCCGCCCTGTCGAAGAAAAACGAAGCAACGAAGAGATTCTTCTGCCCGTCTCCTCCTCCTCCATTCCAAACGCCACCAAAAGTGCACTTCATGTGAGTACATGAGGATTCATTAACCTTGAGGGCCTTCAAAACTGTCCTCCTGCATCCATTCAAGCTGGAGCCTGATGAAGAGGCCGATGCTTTGTAGTCCTTTCCCCCGTAATGGTATGCTCCTAAAAAGAGAGAGCATTGACACTACTTCAGTTCAAAGCTCCATTTGTTATCCAGAAAGGTAGTAAAGAACATAGGAATTATTCAAAGAGCATAACCTATAAACACCATATTGGAACAAGGGAATTCCGATCGATCACAAGTAGTTTACGCGCAAACAGCTTAGCATTTAAATGTAAAGATGTGGGACCCCATATAACCAGCTAGTTAGACTCGAGGGGAAGGGCGTGGGTCAGGGAGTATTTTTGGAGTTCAATTATGATGGAAAGGGTACTTATTCGGGTCTTATAGGTGTCGGAGAGATAAAGGAGCTCTTGAATTCTCCCCGAGTATGTTTCGTGAGAATAAATAAACAGGCTCTATCAAATATTTGTTATATCCAAAATATCGTTACTGTACACACCCGACCCACGATCTGTTGGTCGTAAGAAAAAGCTTATAGCTGAAAAAAGAAAATTATGCAGAATTATGATTATTAATGGAACTGGTACCTTACCATACTTCAGATATGTATAATGCACAAGTACTACATACAGTTTTATATACACATTCCTCCAAGCTACATAAGAATCTTAACATGCTTCTACTTGTGGAGAATGAGGATGATAAGAATGCTATCAGGGAAGCTAGGAATAATATTAGGGTAATAAGGTAAATTAGTAATTTGTTAACAAGTTTGGTGGTAGGAATTCGTTACAAATAGACTGAGTGGGAAAGGACGGCTGGCATTGGTTTAGTTGATTTAAGCTCGAGTGAGAATACTCGAGAAGAGGAGGTTCAAAGTACCTCAAAATCTTTGAGATTATTGCATTGTTTTACCTTCCATATTTCTTATTGGTTCTTTTGTTTCTATTAGAGATTTTCTGGTGCAACTTTTTACAAATTCAAATATGTATTACTCTAACCGCCCAAGTCCACCGCTACAAATATTGTCCTCTTTGGGCTTTCCTTTCTAGGCTTCCCCTTAAGGTTTTTAAAACACATCTGAAGAATGTTTCGTTCCCCTCTCCAACCAATGTGAGATCTCACAATCCACCCCCTTGGAGGGCCTAGCACCCTCGGCACACTGCTCGGTGTCGGGTTCTGATACCATATGTAACAGCCCAAGCCCACTACTAGCAGATATTTGTCTTCTTTGGGTTTTCCCTTCCAGGCTTCCCCTCAAGATTTTTAAAACACGTATGTTAGGGAGAAATTTTCACATCCTTATAAAGAATGTTTCTTCCCCTCTCATCAACGTGGGAACTCAGAATTATTGCCCATTATAAGAAAAATGATTTAATAATGACCAGAATACTCAGCACGAGATGAAGATGTGTATTTACAACAAAATTGGTAAGTTACAAGAAGTTTATACTCAATAAGACAGGCAGTTGCAACTTACGTCAGCACGAGATGAAGATAGGAAATGGTGATTGAAAAAACATTTATCATCTGGAAGAGAAGAAAAGAAAACACAAACCTTCGTAGCCAGATAGGATGCAATCATTGCTAGAATCTTCTGAGACACTCAAAACCTCAGCTCGAGCAGCTAGTAACCCATAATGCAAATAACTGTAATTCAAAACACAAACAACCAAATAAAGTCAGTCAAAAAACAATCATTAAAGTCCAAGCATCAGCAACTAGTGGAAACCCAAAGCGAATCACAAAGGAGAATTGATACAAAAGAACTTCAAAAATCCAGGGAAAGGAAAAATATAAGCATTCACTAGAGCCTTGGGGGGGGTGTAACAGCCTAAGCCCACCGCTAGCAAATAGTGTCCTTTTTGGCTTTTCCTTTCGGAGTTTCCCTTAAAGTTTTAAAATGCGTCTACTAAGAAGAGGTTTCCATACTCATATAAAGAATGCTCCATTCTCCTCCCCAACCGATGTGGGATCTCATAGTGGGATTCCACAAGATTAAACTATAGCTATTGATGAA